CACATCTATTCAACCACCAGGGGTTTCCAATACAGGTAATCCTCGACTTACAACCCCAATTGAGCCCAAAATTTCTCTTGCTAAATTAAATATTTGTTAAGTGAGTTTGCCCAATTTTATGACCGTGCCACGGTTATTAACTGAATCCCTGCAGTTGTTAAGTTAGTAACATGGTTGTTAAATGAATCAGGTTTCCCCACTGACTTTGCTCATCAAAAGTTGCAAGAGGTGATACATGACCCCAGGACACTGCAATCTTCATAAATATGAACCAACTGTCAAACATCTGAATTTTGATCACATGACAATGGGGATGCTGCAATAGTTGTAAGTGAGAAAAATGGTCACAAATCACTTTTTCTGTGCCACTGTAACTTTGAATGGTCACTAAATAAACTGTTGTAAATGGAGGACTACCCATACTGTCAAAGATTTTAGCTAAGGAGCTAAAAGGAAAAAATGCAAAGGAAAAAAAAATATGTCCCAGAATAGCTTTTGCACAAATGTGGAAAGGACCCAACATCCCCCCAGAAGATGTAGTCATAAATAAAATCTTGGAATGTGCGGACATGCTCACATTTGAAATGAAGGAAAGGGAGAACTCCAAATATTACAACGTAGGGCATAAATGGTATCTATGGTTAGAAGATAGATATAAAAATAAGAAAATAGAAAATGTAATTATTACAAGAGACCTCAAGAGGATAATAGGCTAGAGATATAGACTATAAGGCATATAAGTAAAGGTAACTATAGTAGGCACAATAGAGATTGTAGATTTATAGAAAGAAAATGCATATATTAAGATATATAAAATGTATATTTGTCAGTGCCGAACCACTGTTAAAAACTGTATACAAGATTTGTATGTGTGGAAAATATAATAAAAATTTATTTTTAAAAAAGGAAAAAAAATCTCTCAGATCCCCAAAATACATTTTGTATATAAGGCACTGTTATTCTTGATAAAATTTAGCACGTGTTCCAATATTTATCAAAGTCTTAAACCTTAACATAATTATGTGCATTGTAGTTCTTTTTAAGTTGGTCATTTAAATAATTTGGATGCATCAAATTCTTAACATTTTCTCATACTGTAATATGAATACACAGCTAGCATTACCAGATCCTTATCAAAGGCTTCCATCCTTCTTTAAATCTCATTCCATGCAGCACCTCAGCTACTTTTTTTTTGTGATAGTTACAGAATATTGGCAATGGGCTCTTTAATGAGATATAAAGAACATTTTATTAAGGTTTCAGGTTGTGTTTAATAGATTAAAACAACATTGATTTTCATCCCTTGCTCAGTTCAAGGGATCTTGTTAAAATTTATTGCTGATAGAGTCATATAGAAACTTCATGGTAGACATTAGATTGTAAAGCGATCAGTTCTTACTATGCATACTAACTTGAAAATCCTAGGTTAATGCAGAATTTTGCTGTCACTGTCAAAACATTCGCTAAAGGGTGGCACTCACAGTAAACCTAGCAAAGTAATACATGGAGCTTGAAGGAGGCCAAAATTTTATATACTCAACTCCAAAGAAAATTGTGTGATTTTTAAGAATGGAAAGAAGCTTAAAAGGAAAAAAAAAGAAAGGGAAAAAAGAAACTAAAAAAAAGAGGGGCAGCCCAGCAGACAGAAAGCAAAGAAGGCAGCTTATTCCAATATAAATGAAATATGTTGGTCAATCTGAGCTTTTCCAAGGAGTTGAAGGAAGGAGCCAAAACTCCAAGTAACGGATAAATGAAGAGAGGGAATTAATCATAAACAGTCCTTCTTTCACCTTCCTTGGAACAGAGATAGAAAAGGGTAAGAGAATCTCTCATGAAGCTCTCATACCTTCTTCTAGATCTGCTCCAGAGTGAAACAGGAAAAAATGCAGAGAACCAAAAGTACAGGTAATCCTTGACTTAGAACTACAATGGAGATTGCCCATTATGGTCTTAAATCCTGATGGTCATAAAAGCTGGTGACCCATGATTGACCAAATTTTACAGCCTTTTCCCCTGCAGTCATTAAATGAATGCAGCAGTTGTACAGTGAACATGATAGTTGTAAAGCACAATGATAAAGTGAAGATTGCTGTCATAAAGCAAAGCCACTGTTTGCTATGGGGTATTTTTTTTTTTTGCCAAAAACTGGAAGTAAATGCCAATTCTCAGCAAAATGCCATGAAATGTAGTCATGTGATCATTGGAGGCTATGAATGGCCATAAATACAGGCTGGTTGCTGACTACCCAACATGCAGCCCCACATGCAGCCCCATGTGACTGTGAGCAGTGGGCTAGCGGTCAGAACTTCGAATCTGATTCACTGTAACTTCAAATGATCACAAAGCAACTGGTCGTAAGTCGAGAACTAAACTCATATAAGCTAATTTTATCTGTTCTTGCTTGGTCCTTGTCTCTAAAAAGAAGCAATTTGATCCATAGTGTTGTACAGATGCAATACTGAACAATCACTTCTGCTGGCCTCCTCTTTTGCCCCTTCCGCATGGGCAGGCCAGGTAGTTTGTCACTGAAGAGACAATCAGCTGATCCTTCCATCCATGCACACAGGATGGAGAGAACTGGGTTCAATTCAGAGGTGGTTGTTGTGGTTCGCCGGCAGCAGGTATGAACAGCTGAGGTCTCAGAGAGGGAGGACTCAGATGAGGGGCCTGCGTGCTATGCAGGGATGGGCCAGGACTATCAGGGAGTGTAATGCTGCCTTCAGAGATTGTGGAGGCTAGAAGCAGTGAAGAAGAGATCCCCGAGGAGCCTGTGCCCAGTGCACGTGCGTGCAAGGCTGCTCGAAGGAAAGAGCAGCTGCAGCAGCATGGGCAACTTGGGAGTAAGGCTGCAAGGTAATGGCCCCTCCCTCAAGAGATAAAAGTCAGCTGAGAAGCAAAGAAGTTTTTGCTCTCAAGCCTTGTGGACGTTTGGAATATCTTGGTTGGTGTTTGGAGATTCTTTGTGTTTGAAATATTTCTTAGTAACTTTGTCTATTGATCTTGGCAGCCTTGTACAACCTTGGCAAGGCTCGCTCTTATCAGAGACAATTAGTTTGAAACAGCGTTTTAACCATGAAGGAGCATAATTCGTAAAGAATCATTAAAAGGTTTTGCTGTTACGTCTGTTTCGTGTTTGTTTCCTTGGAACAAGGTGTGGGTCAGAAAAGTGCAACTACTCAAAATTTCTGTTACCGGTTCTCCAGAACTGGTCAGAACCTGCTGAATACCACCTCTGATTAGTTTCCACCCATCACTTCTTGTCCTGCCCTCAGGTGCTTTGGAGAATAGCTTGACTCCCTCTTCTTTGTGGCAACCCCTGAGATACTAGAACACTGCTATCATGTCTCCCCTAGTCCTTCTTTTCATTAGACTAGACATACCCAGTTCCTGCAACCGTTCTTCATATGTTTTAGCCTCCTGTCCCCTAATCATCTTTGTTGCTCTTCTCTGCACTCTTTCTAGTCTCAACATCTTTTTTACATTGCGGCAACCAAAACTCAATGCAGTATTCCAAGTGTGGCCTTACCAAGGCATTATAAAGTAGTATTAACAATTCACGGTGATCTTGATTCTATCCCTCTGTTTATGCAGCCTAGAACTGTGTTGTCTTTTGGGGCAGCTGCTGCACAGGACTGGCTCATATTTAAATGGCTTTCCACTAGGACTCCGAGATTCCTCTCACAGTTACTACTATTGAGCAAGGTACCATATATACTATACCGGTGCATTTGATTTTTCTTGCCTAAATGTAGAACCTTACATTTTTCACCACTGAATTTCATTTTCTAAGATGACGCCCAATGTTCAAGTCTGTCAAGATCCTTCTGTATCTTAAGCCTATCTTCTGGAGTGTTGGCTATTCCTGCCAGCTTAGTGTCATCTGCAAATTTGCAGACTATCTATCCCCTTATCGAAATCATTGATGAAGATGTTGAAGAGCCCAGGGTATTACTTAAATTAGGCAATTAACAGGTTCTAGCAATAATTTGTCATGCTAACCCTTCCAAATGAGAATTATCAAAGTAGTTGCTCATCAAGGATGTACCAGTGAAAGGTTGCATTATTTCAGCACAGTTTTTAAAAGCACGGTATGATCCGCACCAATAAAATAGGGATTCTCAAATTTTGCAGTGTCATGACCCCCTAAACTTTCAAATGGAATTGACATTTCCCATTATGGTATGTTA